CTACATTAATATAGGAAAGTAACAGTTGACGTTTCGAACACTTAAAAGCTGTCATTTTAAAAAGTATTTAATTTCCACTGCGAATTTGTTGCAGTTATATAAATATTTTAAGTCTTTATATAATATTTTAAAAATGACCAAAGAGATACTATAGCTACAGTATCTCTTTGGTATTTCAACCAATCGCTCTCTTCACAAAAATAAGTTTTTCAAATACCGTAGGCATGCAATTACAAGCACACTTTCAAAACCGAAATCATCTATTCCATCAAGTATTACAGTTAGTTTTTTTTAAAGATTTTTTATCTAGAGCACACAAAATTAATTCAGAACAAAACATTCAAGAATCCAACCCTCGGAATAAGGGTCGGCATTCAGCAATGCCGACCTAACTGCCAACCTTAAAGTGTTTGAAGTTGGCAAAAAATTGCCGACTTCGAGATTAAATTTGGTATTGATTTATATCGCTACAAAGCTATGACTTTAAATGTAAAAGAAAACAAAAAACTAGAAAATCTGGAAAACAAATCAATCAGGATAATCACTTATCATCTGATTATTTTAAGCTTTCTCTTTACCTCTACTGGGCCATCTTATTAATGAGCTTATTAATTTATAAGATTTAAAACAGAAAGCAAGTTGTTTTATATGAGATGTTTGCCGTTCCAACTGTCATGTTAAGTTACCTGAAAACTAACTAAGATATGCAAATCTACTTTCAGGAGTTTCTAGATATCTATCATTCCAACTCTGCATTCAACCTTTATTCATGCCGAGTTGGATTATGGAAGCTTCTTTAGAAAGGTCAATCAAAACCCTCATCTAGTATTTTTTAAACAAAAGTCATGACAATGACTGATTCCCCCCCCCCCCAAATTCTTGAATATTTAAGATTTAATTCTAGGTACAATACCAAGAGATTAAAAACTTATTCAAGAAGTAGAGTGTTAAAAAAGTGACCTAGTTTTAGTGTCAATTTATACCGAAATGGCTCTAGATAAAGATAGGGTTAACAAAATTTTTTCAACTTCTGGAGAGAGATGTTTAAGTTGCTATTTAAGCCTTAAATAATTGGCTATGATTGAATAAAATTATATTTATATATAAATAAAAAAATTGAATATCTCTTATATTTACAATCTTTTTTTTGTTTTTTTCATTGTTTAAAATTTTCCTTAGAGCATCTTATTTTTTATTTGTTATAAATGTTTAATAAATAAATTTATTTTCTATTCTGTGTAGATTTCATATTCCTTGACCTCTAAAATGTTAAATGTTTTAAAAATTGTTCTAAACTAAATAATGTAAACCACTATATAAAAAATTTAAATATGTGTGTTAATTTCGTTAGAGTATGCTACAAAAAGAGTGCTTATTAATTAAATAAAAAAACGATGTAATAAATTAGCTTCCTGAGGATTTTATAAATAGTGAAACTGTTCAAATCTTTTTTTTTTTAATATATATTTATATATAGTAGTATATAACTTTAAAGTAAATATCATTTGAATATGTCATATGGAGTGCAAAGTCCTATGGCTTACCTTCTAGTTAGTACACTTCGTTAAGTAAGTTAGACAGTATGTCTAAATTACGAACCGAATAGCCAAGGCAAATTTTATATTTTACCATTAATTATTTTACTAGAATCCATTAAAAGTAAATGAAAAATGTATGTGTACAAAAAGTGAATTAAACGCTCAGATAAAAATACTGTCTGGCGTCTACATGACGTAATTATCGGACGTCTTTTTGATGTAGATTAACCGGCTTATTAAATAGTTGCATTTATGACGTAATTTTACAAATTTTAGCTACACCTATATAAAATCCTAGACCCACCCCTGAACATTGATAATAATCAATGAATTGTTATTGCATGAAGTAATACTCATATGATATATAGAACTGACATGCATTCATTTATGTTTATATCTTCAAATATAGGGTCTGAAATTTAAAAAAGATCAAATTGGTTTAAGATCCAGTTGCACATGAAACAAAGAAAAATGTATACTTGATCTTAACGGCATACCTTCCAATCAAAGTATAAATTTTTCCATTTTAGCTATTGAGTATAATCTTTTTAATAAGGAAGGTTAGTTTTTTTTTGTTACATTATAATGTGTTATTTAATTATATTAGTTAGGTAGATGCAGTTTAAAAAATTACGGGCAAAATATGCAAAGGGTGGGTTTTTTTTATTGTCTGATCCTCTCAATATATTCTTTATAAAAAAATAATTATTGTATTAAAATTGTAATAACTTAACCACTCTTTCAGGTTTTCTTTAGATATCTTTGTTATTAAAGTATAATGTATTTCACGGTCGTATAGATATTAGTAAAAAGCGCTATGTTTAGGTACGCATGCGCAAGAAAATACAAAAAACTTTTGAACTTTTAAAATGGCTACGGTTTTTAACTACAGAGAATATTTTATATGGCAACAGATTATTTGCTAATCAATTTCTGAAAAGCCAATTATGTAGCTTTATTTTTAACGTAAATCAATTTAATAATACAAAAATTTTACAAAAATATAAATAAATAGATGTAACAAAAATCTTTGTGTGCTTAAACTTTATTTTTATTTAATACCTTTTTAGTTTAAATCATAGATTTGTTTATTTATTTGAAATCAAGTTTCTAAAAATCTGACTATATATTTAAATATATATATATATATATATATATATATATATATATATATATATATATATATATATATATATATATATATATATATATATATATATATATATATATATATATATATATATATATATATATATATGTTAAAAAGATAGTAAGATAAAAGTAGGATTTCAATAATTTTTTCTTAAACTTCAGATAAATATGTTCTATATGTATGATATTTTTCTGGTCATTGTTTCAACTTTTTTTCCAAACAAAAAATAATAACATATTTATGTTATTATTTTTTGTTATTTAGTAACAAAAATAATAACATTAAAAAATAAAAAAACATTTCAATATATTAGTAAAAAGTCATAACAGTAAAAGTAAATTTAATTATCACAATAAAGTTGAAGCGATGACAAGAAAAATATCATCAATAAAAACACATTTACCTAAAGTTAAAAAAATATTATTATTTAATAGGGTTTTTCCAAAAAGAACAACTTTGAACAATATATGCTTAATGTGTTTTATATAATAAAAAAATCTGTTTTTTTCAAATTTTTGAATAAAAAATATTTTGATGACTCTCAGGAACTTGTTATGTTCCTTTAAGACTCCCAAGGAACATAACAAGTTCCTAATATTATAAAAAAAAATTATTTGAGTGTATGATGTTGGGTCTCAAATGAAGCAAAATTATATGAAAATTTAAATGTTAGAATTAACACCATAAAAAATCAATTTTATTAACTAAAAAAGAAAAATGTCCACTTTTACCAATTTTTCAGCAATATATTTTTTTCAATAAGTTTTTTATAATTTCATTGGCAGCTATATTTTTTTTAAAATATTTTTTTGGGACGACCTTATAAGTATGAAGTATTTATCATCGAAACGAAGTGTGAACAATTTTATTTTTATGCTTTAACTGAAATTAAAAATATTAGGTAACTTTAATAAAACATATTGATAAATAAATGTTTAAAAAATCTTAATAATAAATAAGCTAATAATAATACAGTGGACTTACGGTTCTAATCATATGTTGAATTAAATAATATTTAAAAAGCCTCATAAAATCAAAATTGCTTATATTGTATTTATTGAATTTTGATATAAAACTCTTTTTATGATACTTTTACCTGCAGTACCAGAAATCAGCTAAGTTTGCTAATATTCGTTTGAAATATATATATATATATATATATATATATTATATATATATATATATATATATATATATATATATATATATATATATATATATATTTAATTATTCACCTCTACACCGACTACAGTCGAGAAGGCTACTCTTGTAGTTGTAATAATAAAATATATTTGTTTTTTCTAACTGTCTTCTGAATATCTCTACTCAATATTTATACATTTGTAAAATACCCCCGGGAGCATAATAAACAGTATAAACGTTATGTACAATATAGTATATACGACGCGCCCACAACATTCCTTCTGACGCAACACGTTAATAGTTTATATACAATACAATTATTTACACTAATTACAACACCCCTTGATCTCTAGATCACAAAGTCCGCATACTTATTCGGAAACTTCCGCACTCGCGTCGATCTTCAGAGATTTAGGTTGTTCGCGGTGGGTTCTTCCGGTTCTCTCGTAAACAAGTCATCTACAATGGGAGCTGGACGGACGTGCGACATGTGTCTCGGCAATCCATTAATTTCTACCGAAACTCCTCGTCCTTCATCTGAGACTCTTCCTCTTTTCCATTCGCTTGTACATTTTGAATCAGATGGTTTTACAAATACTTTTTGTCCTTGTGTGTAAGTGTGGAGAACTTCCTCGTTAGTTTTGGCAAAAATTGTGTGTGGTTTCCACTCATAGGAAAATATAGCTTTGTATGTTTTCTCGCCATTTTTTTTGGGAGCCACGTTATACCAATATACTATTTTTAACAGATCTTTGCCACTTTTTGCTGCCATGCGCTTGATTGTGCGATGGCGACGTTCAACAATTCCATTTCCAGATGGCCTTTAAGCGCAACAAAACAGGATGGACACTCCCATTCTGCGCATAATTCACCAACGAGTTTTGAGCGAAAGGTCTTGCTGTTGTCAAGAAGAACTTGCCACGGAGGTCCTCTTTTTCGAAATATTTTTTCTAGATGGAAACACACTGTTGCTTCTTTCTCATTCTGTAGCTTCCTACAAATTGCAAACTTGCTCCTTTTGCCACAGTCGATGATAGACAAATAAATCTTTAATTTATAGTGGGTAAAGTCAATAGCTAAACGGTACCAGCTCTTTGCAACTACAAGATTTCCTTCTTCCCATCTGATTGGAGCAGGATTTACCAATAAACATCTTTCGCAACTTTTTACGACTGATTCAATGTCTTTTCTACAAACTTTCTCCTTCGGATATGTTTCATCAAATAAAGGGATCGATTTACTCCAAAGTGATGAAGATTATGAAACGACTTCACATCAGGTGGTACAAGATTTGCTGTCATTGCAGAATGGTTTGAATGCAGCCAATTCTGTGGTACCCTCGTATAAGCATCGGCTTTATTTTCTGCTGACTTAACCAGGAAAAGTTTTAACTGTATACCACACTCCTTCACAAGGTCTTCAATTAACGACAACCGGCGACGGACAAGTGGTTCTCCAAGACCGTGTACTCGAATGGGTTTGTCACCAATGATTAAGGATTTCAACCAGCCAACAACAGTAGCCGAGTCAAGTTTTATGGTAATACATTCGAATCCCCATTTTGTTGCGAGATTGATTCCTTTTATCACAGCTTCTAACTCTGCAAGATTAATGTGAGCCACACCATCTTGTTTTCTCAGCCACGAGCAGTCTTCTACTATTTCCCCAGCCACTTCCAGAACTATGCCAACAGCTAAACTGCTTGCATCGCACCACACTGTTGCTTCAGAAGTGTTTTTTACGTTCCATGACCCATGAACGGCATCTTCCTTTGTAAGTCTTTCATTTAAACTGCTTACTAATTTGACAATACGATCGTTTACCAAAGTGTCCCATCCACAACTACTCGAAACCCTTTTTAGATAGCTGCACGAAGGGCGCAACCAATTTGCTATTGGAAAATTTCCAGTCAGCTGTCTATACCAAGAAAAGATTTGCCGACGCGCCATTTTTCCTTCAGAAACTTTGGGTATGTTGTCACGTTTCCATCGCACTTGGTTGTTTTGTTTGTATACTTGCAATCCAAGCTCACGCCGACCGACAAGTATTTCTGGCAGCTTAGAATCCAAGCCATATTTTTTCAAGAGTTCTTGAACTCTACAACTTGACACTATGTTATTATTGACAATGATGTCATCAATAAATGAATCTGTTCCAGACTCGACAACCTTGTCTAAGGATAATACCTTTTTTAAGATTTTTGTCATTATTCTGGGCGCCACATTTAAACCAAAACCCAATCTTGTTAGACAATATTGCTGCCCTTCATATTCCACAACTTGATATTTCCATAATGCTTCGTCGACACGAATCTGCAGGTACACTTTTTTTAAATCGATTATCTCAAGATTTTTTCCCAACTTTCTCCAGTTGCTAAGTTTGGTACTGCAAACATCGCCATCTGCAGTATCACTGGATACAAATTGATTCAGCTCGCGGTAATCCATCACCGGACGTACTTTTAATTTATTTTGTTGAATTACTGCCATCAACGGAATGATGCCATTACATTTCCCTTCAAATGGTTTTAACCATCCCTGTGCTATCCATTCACTTATTTCCGTTGCGTACTCACTTTTAACGTCTTCAGAGAAATGATAGTTTGGAATTTTGTTTTTTATAGTTGGTGGTTCCATCAGCCATTTCCAAGACACGCTCCAGCTGCCATTTTTGAATTCTGCTACTAAGTCTTTATCAATCAGCTTTTGAACAGAAGGCGTGGATACTTCATTCGTTTTTCCTTGAGAGACTGCAGTAGCGCCGATAGTTAGTTGCTCCACATTAAAGTTTATGATTTCACCGAGCAATCGTATTGCGTCCATACCAAGTAGCATTTGATATTCGGGAACAATGTTAGCAACCAGGCATTCCAAATCGATGGTGGTATCATTTATCGAAAGATTAACAACAGTCTGGTATTGTACTTCAATTGACTTTCCATTCTTCGTAACAACATTTTTGCTTGCATGTTTGACATTTTTTGGGTTTACAATATCCCGACTTAAAATTGATTTGGAGCATCCAGTATCTAACAATGCTTTTATTTTTCTTCCATTGACATATACGCGGAGAGGTGGCGGTTTTAAATTTTGTGGGAAGCCGCTCGCACAAAAACGGGTGGCTTCCCTTCACGTTTTTTGAGTTCGTACACCTTTTATAGCAGTACTAAGCACCTCTTCTTCTCAATCTCTTTGCTGCAATTTTGATTGATGTGTCCATCCTCACCGCAACGTTAGCACGTTATAATCTTTTTTCCGCGTCCTTTAGGAACCTGTTTTGAACTAATGGCAACCGGATTCACGCAACTGACAAAACACGATTCTTTGCGACGTAAAATTACCAAACTTCTGGATTTTTCAGCAATCTGGCACAGCGACATTGTTGATATTGAGCATGCAGTTTGCAGCTGTTTTCTTGCTTCGTCAGGTAATCCAAGAATAAATGCGCACCTTATCCACTCTTCGCTTACGTGAGATTATATTAGCTTGCTCAGTCTTGTTAATTCTGCAAGATATACGTCAACGGACTCATTCTCTTTAAGACGGCGATTATCAAACTCTTCATCTGCTGTTAGCGGAGAAGCAGAGAAGGCAGTAGTCAGTGCAGTTTTCACTTCATTGTAGTCTTCTTTTATCTCATCACTTAGGCCTTGATAAACGGCAAACGCCCCACCAGAAAGAAACAAGGGGAGCAACACATGCAGCTCGTCAACTTTTTGAAGTTTCGCTACCAATTTCAATTTCTGTATTCTTTCTGAAAAATCACCCGAACCATCGTATTGTGAAACCAGATCCGCAAACTTTATAATGATACTCATTGCCGAAATAGCTTGTAATAATAAAATTAATTTGTTTTTTCTTACTGTCTTCTGAATATCTTTACTCAATATTTATACATTTGCAAAATACCCCCGAGAGTATAATATACAGTATAAACGTTATGTACAATATAATATAATATATACGACGCCCCCACAACATTCCTTCTGACGCAACACGTTAATAGTTTATATACAATACAATTATTTACACTAATTAGAGTAGTTACAACCCTTTCTATAACTCCGAAACATAAACCTTAATAAACAAGGCCGCTGCACGAGAAGCAAGTTGACAAACAAGTATATTATTAAAACTATAATGCAAGTAACAAAAAAAAAAAGCAAAGTTAATTTTTAGTACCAAAAATTTCGTTTTTATGTTATAAATATTAGTAATTTAGCTAACTCATGATACTGGATGTAACAATAAAACATATAAACAATATAAATAATACAAATATATATATATATATATATATATATATATATATACATATATATAAATGACGAACAACAATCGATTGATTAGACTAACACAGTATCCTTAAAGGCATACTCACCGGCTTACTTAGCTAGTTACAGCAAAAATTACTAACTACATATATATATATATATATATATATATATATATATATATATATATATATATATATATATATATATATATATATATATATATATATATATATATATATATATATATACATATATATATACATATATTAAGGGCCTGAATTATGAATAACATATTTGTATTATTATATTTTAATACAAAGCTGTCTTATATGAACAAGTATATAATGTAGTGTAACAAAATATTTCTTTAATCCTTTTTTAAATCTTATGCTGCTATGGTGTAGCAGAAATAAAAAACAAAATGTCTTTGTTTTGCTTTTTTTTCTGCTGCACTATGTATGGTATAGCAGAAATAAAAAACATAACAATTACCAAAATTTTTTCCAAAAAATTTCACATGTTCATCTGCATAAAATGTGTTGTTTGATTTCTTGCTCTTAATGTTATATTCCAATTATAGCATTTGTGATCTCCCAGAAACTTCATTTTCATCAACTGTTGTTCACAAACAAGAGTTAGTAATTTTTAAAATAGTTTCAATACAAGATTTGCACAATTCTTTAACATAAGTTGTGACTGCTTGCAGATGAAACTTTTGCTCTGTATACTTTCGTAAAAAATCTATAAATATTATGTCACAAAAGCATTACACAAATAATGATCAACCTGCAAATATAATATAGAACTACTTGTGCAAATATCTGCAAATATAATATAGAACTATACTATACACACACACACACACACACACACACACAGATATATATATATATATATATATATATATATATATATATATATATATATATATATATATATATATATATATATATACATATATATATATATATATATATATATATATATATATATATATATATATATATATATATATATATATATATATGTATATATATATATATATATACATATATATGTATATATATATAAATATGTTTTTTATTTAAAACTAGAGAATATCTAAACGAAAATAACTTTATGAAGATTTACAATTTGTTCTTACTCAGTGTAGTTATTGATAGATCCGGAAAAAAACAGCAGTGGCGCAGTGAGTTTTGGCTGGGCGAAGGAAAGAGGCGTGTATTATTACCTGCTTGAGTTGAAAACTTTCTTCACGGTGCCATATTATAAAGAAAAAAATATGCCTACATTTTATGTTTTAAAACAAATTAAGCTTAATGTTTTGTTTTTTTCGTTCTTAACGTTTTCGGTGATTTAAGGCTAAATTTATGTACTAATAACTCATACTATCATACTGTTTTTGTGTGATTTACAGTAAATATTTAGTAATATGAATAATATAATATAAGGAACAGTTATAGAAGAAAATAAAAATAAATTAAAATAGAGAAAAGTAAAGAGTTAATTCAGGATGTGAGATGATTTGAGGTGACTAATATATATTTATATATATATGTGTGCACACACATTTATCATTAAAAAATTTTTTTGTTTTAGTAAATGCATGGGACAGTCTCAGGTAGTGTTCATTTTAATATAGTAAACTTACTTGTAAAAAAAATGGCAAGGATATTCCAACATTTAGCCAAAATTTTTAACCATTGTTTAATTTTCATATGCTACTCAAATGTTATTAACGTCCAAAAATTAAATTGTTGTTAAACATATCAAGACGTAATCAAAATACTAACTAATTGTCAAGTTTGTTTGCAAACTTGACAATTTGTTAGTATTTTGCGAAATATTAACAAAGAAAACGGTTATTTTAAAGTTAGACGACCGTTGTATTCTTGGCATCTGTAAATTATTTTTGGTATTCAATGACTACTTGTGGCAGCTCTATAATGTGCCTAAGCTCCCTATGAAACAAAAACGCCTGTTTTTGTTTTATAGGAAGCTTAGGCACATTCAAACGACGTTCAACACCTTGTCTAGAAACATGGATAGGTAAATAGTTCAATTTTTTAGAGTTTCCAAAAAAAACTGGCAACAATTTTTGATCCCAGTGAACTAGTGACAACTACTTAAAAACTTGTATTTCTGGTCCAGAAACTTTTTCTTAAGCTTTACATGAAGACCTTCTTAGACATTAGTTTTCTCACTAGAAAGAGCAGACATATAATAAAGTATATGTATTTAATTAATGTGTCTCCTACACATCTTCCAAAACATTGAAATTTTTAAAATACCTGTAAGAATTTAGACCGATCCATTAACTACGCCTGTACGCCCCTACGCCTGCTTGCAGTTCAATAAAAGCATATATCTATGATCTGCTCTCTATAATATTCTAAAAGATTGTTCACTTGTTTTGCTTGTTAAACTTCCATTGAAGAAGGATACTAAACAACAACTAAAAGATCTATGCGTTGTCATCTAAGGAGCTCAGTGAGACTACAAGTCAATTTTATGAATGATATTAGGCGCTGGGGTAATTTGTTTAAACAGTTTAGTATTAAAATAAAGTTTAAGCCACCCGCTTTTGAGTTAATTTATGATTAAAATCCACTTAAAATCTCTTTCATGCTCTATTTAAACTTCTTTCTATGAAGAGTGCTTCGGTATATCATCCATTTTTACACCTCCATCTTTAATAACTTTACTTAAAATTACCAAATTAGGTCGTACATCAACATTGAATTTTGCTGCTGGAATTGCAGTACACTCAATGAGTTTGTCAACATTCACTGCTTGATTTATCGCCAAACTTGTAGCTAGTTGATACTCAAATTGAGTTATTGAGAATATTTTTTATTCATTTATAACTATTTACTTTTTTTACTAAACAACCTTAGTAAAAATAGCAACTTTGTTATTGAAAGAATACTATACCGTGTTTCTGACAGTAACCCTGAAAATCTTCTTCCTCTCTGATTTCAAAGTCCTCATTAAAAGTGTGGTTTATTATTTCTTTTTAAATATCACTACCATAAAAATTAAAAAATAAATAATATACCATTGCTTGAATCCCTTTAAATTTGGTGAAAAATCTCAATACTTACTTGTTACTCTAAAAAGTATTATTTAATGAGCTTACTTTTTATCATCAAATCTTATTTTATCAGCAATGATATTCTCTTCAAAGTTCTAAGTGGAGGTTTTGAAAAGCTGATAGGATTCTATGAGGAAATCATTCTCCAACTTTGACTGCTTATCAAGACTGCTGTCCCAGTTTTTAATCATAGATACCAAGCAGATGTTTTTAGTACAAGTAACACCGTTTTCAAAAACAAGATCTTTGGATTTTAATTTCAAATTGCAACCAATATTAGAAGAAGTGGGTTTGTACTTAACTTGTGACTTGCAAAGAATAAATGAATGTCTCAAAAATATCACAAATAGGTAGAAGCTCTCTTTAAGGTAATTTCTTCAGTGGGTACTTCAACAGGTAATTATTCATCAACTTTTCTGTATCTGTTTTTTTTTTCTTCTATTCCGTTACCATCCTTTTTTACC